CCAAGGATAAAGCTTAATCTCATTTCTGCTGTTATACTTTGTCTTCATAAAAGTCCCAGGAAATGAATGAGCTTTATACCACCCTCGCGTGACAAAAGCCTCGGGCTCTCTCGGAAAAAAATGAGGGATGCAGCAAAATTGTCAGCACTTGCGATCTTTATATCAGACCTGCAAACTTCACTTTTATTCTTGAAGTCTCTCCCACCTACCCCAGTTTTGACTTTTATTCTGTTTTTAAAAAGCAAGTTTTGAGCCTTGGTCATTTTGCAGAGCAGACTTTAAAATATGAACTGCAGAGACTCAAACCCCCAACAGCAAATAACAGAGGGAAGATGGTTTTTAAGGGGATCTCATGATCTTTGACGGTTGATGTTGGCAAAACTGAGCACGTTGCAGAAATTAGGGCCTTCCACGGAAAGCAATCCGATAGCAATCCACAGGTCCTGAGGCCATAACAAAAATTAGAAAGAGAAAATACTTATTAGGTCTAGATATAAAATGTAATCCAGATTTACAGCTGATTTTGTCAAGCTCTCTAAAGAGCTTGGCTCCGGCGTTTGACTCTGGCCCATCTGCGAGCAGGTCGGGCTCGGTCCTTCCCACGCTGCTTTAAGCAAAGAGCACTTGCTATTTTCTCATAAAACAAAGTAACTTCATTTCCTATGTGTTTTATAGGTCTCTGTGTTCAAACGTCACCAGGGCTTGTTTCACTGCAGTACAAAAGTTCCCAAACGCTCCTTAGCCACGAGAGAAGACTGTCACGACAGGCTGCTCACCCTCGATGTGTTGACACGTTGATGCCTTCATTCAGGGCAAAAGCTACGAGTCGGGGTCTCAAAGCAACGCTCACCCCAAGCAATTCGTGTAGGTGGCAAAAAGTTCCTTCTCGCCTTTGGGAACACGAAATCCTTACGTATTTGCACGACACCCAGAGCGTGTCTGTACTTTGTGCCTGCTCTCCACCCGTTTTCCCTATCTGCTCCTCTGTCTCAGCGAAAAAAATTGTCCCAGAGTTTTCTGCCCTTAAAAGTTTCATGTCACACCAGTGAGGAACGGTGCTGAGCCTGTGTAAACACCTGACGTGGCAGAGTTAACCTTTCATAAAACTCGGCCTCAAAAATGAGACAGCAAAAAAACCCGCTTGGTTTTCCTTCTGCCCGCACCACTCAGGAAGGAGGGTTTCTGCTTCGGAGGCGGCGAACAGTGTTTTTGCTGGGCTGGAGGAGGAGGGACGCTGTCACGGGAGCGGGCTGACTCACCAGCATCTGACCCGATGTGTCCCGAGGACCCTGCACCGCTCCAGAAGCCTCTGGAAGGAGCCTGCGGCACCGTGGGCACCGTGGCACCCGGCCCAGCCCGGCGAGCCCCCGCGCCGTCCCTCCGTCACCGCACACCGTCCTGCCGGGGCCGGGGGGTGCACGGGGGCCAGCCCTCCCCTCCCCACCAAACGGCAGCCTTGCAGCGGTGCCGGGGCAGTGACGGGGACCCCAGGCGAGAGCAATGATTTGGGGAAGAATTCCCTCTGGAAAATCATCATCAGCCTCTGTTGCAGTTTGCAAGCAAGGAAAAGACCGGACAGCCCCCCACCCCCGCTTCATCCTGCCAGGGCTCTACTGTGAACATGAAAATTTTGGACATAAGGAGCATTTCTGGTGATTGTGCCCTTGGAGCAAAAATCTCACCAAATATTTTTAAACACTTCCCAGCAGAAAGTGGGTGTAGAGAGAAAGCAGAGCACTGCAGGGATGCTAATTGCTCCTTTTTGAGCCTTTCCTTTGCAAGCTTGAAATCTTAAACTTGAACAGCTTTTTTTCCCGTCCCCTTTGCTGTTCCTTTGCTACATCCGTCTGTGAAGCTGGCTGCTCAGCTGCTGGGGCTGACAAACCGCTCTTTGGGCAAGGGTTGCCGTGATGCTATGGGATTCCTAAAGAACCATAAGAAAACATCGACGCAGCCAGTGCTTCACGCTGAGAATGCCAAAACCCAGATCTTCCAGCAACCAGAGGGAAAACATCCCAAGTTAATATATGTGGGAATACAGCGCAGCTTCTCACACGGCCTCTCCAGGGGGCTGAGAAACCGCCCGGGGGCACATCCCAGGGCTGGGGGCAATTGGAAGGGCCAGGTCTGCGCAGGAGAAGGGCTCGCTGGCAGGAGATCCCCGACCCCGAGGAGGAGGAGGAGGAGGAGGAGGAGGAGGCGACTCACCCCTGTCCCGTGATCGGTGAGCTAAGCTAACAGCAGGCTGGTGAAAGCCTTGTTTTCCTTCTGTTTTGTAGAAGTGGATGATGTCACGACCAGAAAGCTGAGCGTGACTCAGCATGCCCCACCAGGAGAAGGGAAATTCCCTCTGGCTTTTGGCCCCTTCCATATTTGCCAACTGGATTAAAGTTCACACAGAGGAAAACTTCGATTTCTGGTTTTAATTTGGTGCATTGCCTGATAATTATAAAAGAATCAATTAATCCAGAGACACAACTGGCTTGAAAAGACCCAGCAACTCGAGGACAACCCACTGTGCTTCCAACACCCGGGCAGCGACGGAGCGGGGAGGAAGGAATGGGTCCTGTCTGGGATGGCAGCAACTCGGTGCCTAAGGAATGCGTGTGCTGGGGCTGGGTCCCAAAATACAAGTCTCTGGCTCCATAAATGAGACCAAAAGCGGCCGTCAGCGTCCTCAGAAACAGGACACGAGATGGACGTGCGGAGGTGCTGCTTGGCAAGGCAGATAGGACAAGGGCAGTGTCCCGGGCCCCGCGCCCTGCCACCGCCGGTCCCTGTTCCGATTTTAGGGAGAAAAAAAATAATTGAACGATGTCAAGTCAGCAACTTTCACCGCCGTTTTCAGAAATGAGGATACACACAGCAAAGAGGCAAAAGGGAAGGTGAGCGCAACAGGCCTTCGCTGTGCGCCCAAACCTTTCGATATCTCGTGCTGTAAAACCCGGTGAATCATTCCCTGTGCA